AGCGCCCGAGCGAGGGAGGCCTTTCCGACGCGCGACGCGCCGCACACGACCACCTCGCTCCCTCGAGCGGCGGCGAGCACGGCGGAGGCGAGTTCAGTCACTCCGTCGAGGCTGTTTGCGGCCACGGGGTGGGCGGAGAGGCAGCGCAGCAGCGGCCCTCGCTGTTGAGCACGGTACTGCAGGTAGAGCAGGTCCGCCTCGTCAAGCCGCGGCGTCAGGTTCGCCTTTGTCAGAGCGAGCAACGTCGTCGGCGCGGCGCCGAGGCTGGCGGTGGCAGCCTCAATCTCGCCGGATATCAACGTGGAGTCAAAGTCGGTGGCGTCGACAATTTGCACGACGAGTGGCCATGGCCACGCATGCTCGAAGTGCGGAGAGAGAGCGCCGAGGAGACGGCGGGCTGCAGCTGAGCTCTTGCTGTGGCGCATATACAGGCCAGTCTCTCGGGCCGGGGCCTTTGCCGAGGGCGGTGCGAGGGTGTCACTCGGGTGTTCTCGAGGTCTGTGCAGCGAGTTTTTCTTTATTATTCGGTGATACCTCTACGCGAAAGCGCACGGCGACCGAGTCCAGGCGAAGCGCACGGCGACCGAGTCCAAACGTCGGCAAAAGCTTTGAAAAGCGAGAGATCCGCCATGCCGCCCGCGCTACGAGCCCGCGCCGCGGCCGTCGCGGTCCGCCACTCCTGCCTCCCGCGGTTGTCCCATGCGTCGGCCGTGCGCCGCCTGTGCAGCCTGCCTCCGCTCGACACCGCACCGAGCCCTGAGATCGCCGCCAAGGAGGCGCGGCGTCGAGCGATGGTGGACGAGGTGGCTCGGGTGCAGAAGCAGCTCGAGGCGCAGACGGTCGCCGAGGTCGAGGCCGCGCTCCGCTTCCGGCAGACCCAACCAGACCAGTCGCAGCCCGCCGTCGCAGACGAGATCGGTGGGCCGACGGGCAGCGGTGCGCGAGCAGATACGACCGCCCCGGCCCGCCACCCCGGCTCCCCTCGGTGCTCCCGCCGCCGCGTCTCTGACGGTCCGCCGCCACCGCTCCTCCCCCGCGCAGAGCCGACCCGGTTCGGCGACTGGGAGCGCAAGGGGCGCACCTCTGACTTTTGAGCCTCGCATGTCCGACTCTTGAGCCTCCGGCGTCTGAGCCGCGCAGTGCGGCGCTTGAGCCACGAGCGGAGGCGTGCGGCGGAGTGCAGAGCGAACGGACGGTGGGTGGGATTGTGATGGGGACGGGGGGCACCCGGGCGTGCACGCTGCTCGCTGGGAGTGTGTGTGAGGCAACGACTGGGTGAAGGGGAGTGGGGAGTCAAGGGGTATTGGGTGTGCAAGGGGAGTAACCTTTCACCGGCAGCAAGATAATACCCTTCAGTGTCATGAAGCATGTGGGGACACGGACACCAGGGTCGAGGTACGAGGAGCTCCCACCGCGCGAGGGCTAGGCTAGGGGTCGAGCTCGAGGGAGCTCGAGGCCTCGAGGGGTCGAGGGCGGAAGCGGGAAGGGCAAGGGGTCTGGGGGTCTCCCCACGTTCGACTTCGAGGACTTCGCACGAGCCGTCGCGAGACGCCGAGACCCGAGAAGACGCGAGCGGACAGCGACAGCCGGGAAAGGCACAGAGTGTTGCGAGTCGACACACGACAGTTGGGTACGTTGTCGCTGCGTGTGTGTCCGCTGAACGGAGTCTCTAGCTGCTACCGTAGCTCTATGACTCCCCGCCGCCCAACTTGCTCAGCGCGCCTTGGTAGCTCTTGCTCAGATGCGCGACCACGAGGCGGCCACGCACGAGGCGCCCGATCTCCGCGGCCTGCGAACGGTGGCGGACCGGAGGGGATGTGTGGGTGCGACGGAAGGCTGTATGCGCAGGCCTCATCGGTTTTGGTCGCCTCCGCGCGAACAAACTCGGCCAGGTTGGAGCGGCGCAAGGCGCCAAAGTTGAGAATCGGAGGGAAGACCCCTTCGTACAGCGGGTCGACTTCCGCCAGCGGACAGTCCTCCCCGTCCGCCTTCGCTAGCCGCACGGAGCCGCCCTCGAGGAGGGCGGTGGTTCCCGCATGACGATAGTCGTAAATGCGGTTGGCCTGCTTGCCTCGTGGCAGCCGCGCCACGACATCGTCCTGACGGGGGAGGGAGCCGATGATGGAGCAAGCGCGCGAGTGAGTGAACGAGTGAATGCGAGAACGGGCGCTCGCACCTCCACGATGCACCGGAAGGGCCCCTCACACTCACGAGTAGCGGCATCGGTGTCCTCCGCCAGCGCAGCATCGCCAACGCGCGGGTTGCCGAAAGTGTAGATTGACATCTCGACGAGCGGTCAAGGATAGGGTCACATGAGCAGGCGCGTGTGTTGAGGAGGGCGTCTACTCTTCACCTTGGAAGCCAGCGCGGGGCCCAAGTCTCGCGCCGCTAGCATGGCCAGAGCGCCGCCGAGGCTGTGACCAGTGATCAGCAGCGCTCCGTCGCCGGTCTCCTCTAACAGGGCGTGCGTGGCGTCGCGCACGCTCAGCCACGCGCGGAAAAAGCCCGCGTGCGCGTATGGCGCCACGGCAGGGCAAGTGGCGAACGTGGCGGCAGAAGGAAGCTGCCTCTGC